ATCAATGCAAGAGGATGGACACCTGTCGGGTGGGCCAGAGGAAGGAAAAGAACTATGGATGAAAGCAGGACCAGAGACTCAACAAAAGAGGACTGGGAAGGATCAGGAAGACAACTGACCCAGATGTGGCGAGCACCGTTGCCAAGTCCTCTGCCACTGGTACTCCTGCCGAAGAAACCATGGATGCGGCGGACTGACGTCCCGCCTGAAGAAGTGAAGGGAGATGGAGCTCTCCCTGGAGGGGGAGATGTAACGGTGGCACTGTCCAACAGCCCCCGTCTAATATCTGCTGTGCCCCCATCTAATATCTGCCGTGTTTCTCTTTTATCTTGTCATTGTCATTCTCCTAACTACGCTCATTTACTCTATGTTCCCTCAGTCACTCCTTGTCTCCTTTGGCCGAGTACTCTGTTACCCAATCCTGTACCTATACCCCTTGTCTCTGTGTTTGTCCAGTATCGGGCATATCATTACCTTAAATACTATCCCCAGTCGTAGAGTTAGGGTAGTGTAGTTTGAACCCCCAGAATTCATACTTTGAACCTGTCTTTCTGTTTGAATGCACTCTTCTCTATTGTGCCATTGTCTTCGAGCCTCATCGCTAAATAGTCAACGTCACAGATGGAACCGCCCGATGATCCAGAGGCTAATTTTAGCCCGTCTGGGCTGAATGCGACACTGCACACCAAATCACAATCACCCTTGAGTGTTGTGAGGACAGCACCAGTCCTTGCATCCCATAAAACAACCGTGTAATCATTTGAACCACTTGCAAGTTTCTTGCCATCAGGTGAGAAGCACACTGACCACACCGTGTCTGTATGCTTCACCAGTGGTTTGAATACCTTCTGCTTGCTCTCGACCTCCCAGATGATGATGGTTTTATCATTTCCACCGCTTGCAATTCGCCTGTCGTTGAGTGATATGGCCATGGAATTCACCCTGCGCTGGTGTCCTTCGAATGGCCCTCCTACCAATGCTCCTGTCTCCAAGTCCCAAATTTGCAGAGTTGTATCATATGAACCAGTGATGGCCCGTCGATCATCTTTGAAGAATGCAACTGCAGTCATGTTCTGCATATGCCCTTTCGTTATCCGCATTGGTGTCAGTTTCCCTTCCGTTATCTGCGCTGGCTTCAGCTGCCGTCTCAGAGTGAGATTTGCATCTCTTGCTGCATCAGGCACCCCTGAAATCTCACGTTGACCTAGACAGAGATATAGACGGTCAGCAGCATTTGAAGTTGACAAGGACCATACCTTTAGGATATCCTTGTGTTGGGGGTCTGGTGGTGAGTACTGTTGGACTTCTGTCCATGACCCAACTCATATAGGCACTTATTCAGGGTACTTCCACATTAGCAAACTACAATGTCCTCTACAGCTTTGTACAAAGCTGTACAGAAGGAACCAAGCTGTGGCAAGCCATTTCATGATGGTGGGAAAAAGTGTTTTGCTGATGTGTATCTGAATTTCATTTGGTTTCTTCCATCATCACTGGCCGCTTTATAAACGCCCATCATGTATCTGTAGCCCCTCCATTCTGTGCACAAATCCGCATACATCTGCTACTACCATATACCACGGTGTACTGTTCTGCAACCATATATTTCCTCCACTCAATCATCTTTCATCATCCTTTGTAATGCACCCTACTTCACCACAGAGCATCTAATCTAATATAATTAATATAATAAAGCACAAATAGCCGCCGGCTGAAGCCCAGTGATGTCCACCATGTCATGCTGTGTCGTTGTGTCGTTGCTGTGTGTTGTGCGCGTCGATGTCATTCATTGTGTCGACCACATCATGCTGTGTTGCTATGCGTTCATAGTCGTCCACTGTTCTCTCTCCTATTTACAGTTCTTTGTTCATCACCATGGCAACTTCTGCTTCATTTCACGGCGTTGTTGGTATTCAAAATGGAAGCAGATATCAGATTGACAGAAAAAATTACTGGCAATACAATGGATTCATTGTCACACCAGAAATGGGCAACGGAAAATCTGCGCATTCTCTTCATCTCTTTGCCAATGATGTACGTCACTTTTCAATTTGATTGGATTCATTTTTTGAGGTTCATTGATATTGGATAGGACTTACAACCTCTTCCTGATGATGCACGTGCCTTTCCAACATCAGGAAAACTCTCCCCCCGGAAATTACTCTAAACTATGATAATTCTCGATAATCCTCAAGTATTATCTCAAAATATGGGCTTTAGAATGATTAGTTTGTTTAGAAAGACTTTTTTACTCCCTTGTTTAAAAAGGATAATTATCATGAATTCGAAGCCAATATCATGAATTTCAGAGAGTGTATTTCGAATGTTGCATAGCGAATCACACGCATCAAATGGTGTTACGAGCAAAACAGACTAATATTTGATCAAAGGATATACATGACACAAAGCCGACTTGGAAGACTAGGAAAATTAAGGTGTGATACATGAATCTGGGATTTTGACAGGTATAGATCAGTGCAAATACAGGACCTAATCATCTGCCATGCCATCCAGGTCGAGTAGCCCCAGTGCATCTCAATGCTCATTGGCGAAATGATCATTCCCCTTCCGTTTCAAGGTCCTTCGAGTAGCAGAGTCAGTATCCGAGTTGAAACAGCACCATGTATACCCACAAAAACTTACTGTACAGCTTCGTAAATATCAGCCATCATGCAATGAAACTTTCCTGGTGCATCCCTCTTCAAGTCCTCAAGGAACTTGACGTGAAACACATATGTCTAGCTGAATTGATTCCCTGTAAAGTTGAACTTCCCTGGTGAGCCAAGTGTCTTCCAGAAAAGGGCTGCATAGGCCTTTCAAACAAATCAATATAGCAAAAATATCAGTAGAAAGGATGGTACCACTGTTGCCACAAGTGCCAGTAATGGAATGGGGCATTCAGGACAATTGCCCTTGTTGTTCACCAGTTCGGCAAAGCACTCGGCAAACTTGACGCCGATAGACTTCACACCACTGAAGACTCCCTCGTATATGAGAAAGATCAGCAGGTCACCCTGGTAGGGTTTTTTGCCTATCGGCAAAGCATTGTCGTTCAACTGTTGATGAAAAATGTTAGTTAGAGGCTAGCGAAGACCAACAGATGAATTTACTCATGTCAAACCTCAATGCATATATATATGCATGCTGAGACGAAAGTAACTATTGATGTTGGTGCAGGTGGCCACTTTCAGGTCACGGTGCAATAATGGAATGCATGGCTCCACCTCAAGTAATCAAAGATAGTTAAAACATCAAAAAAATTGAGACATGCAAAGGACTTACTAAACTAGCGAGGTGAGCACCATACTGTGCATCAGTTTGAAGATGTTCTTTAATGGCGTGTGCACCACAATTCCCAGCCACTGTTAGTAATGACTGCAGAGTGACTTGGTTTTTGTCAACAAGCTCACACAGCTCTATGGACACCCAGTGAGCCTATGCTGATGGTGAGCTGTCAGACTTGTCACTCACCATGAGACTTAAGAGGTGCAGACATTGTATATAGATTGAAAGGACGAGAAGCTAACAAAGAACATTGGAAGGAATGTTTAAGGTCGAAAGAGTACTAAGGAAAAAGCAGTGAGGTTCGGAGGGCTCCATTAAATTTTAGTGCATGGCACTAGTTTCAAGGGGCATCGCCCGTGGAGGCAGTTCACTTGGTGAGCTCATTCAAGGCGCCCAGGTTCAAATTAGGTTCAATTGAGCTGACATCAGATGCTAGGAATTTTTCATGTGCCAGTGTATCGTTGATCGGGGGCTGCTCTCACTTTACACCTTGATGACAACTTCAGTAAGTTTAAACTTGTGTGCCAGTGTATCGTTGATTGGGGGCTGATCCACCTCCTCTACACCAGTTCTGTTGACATCTCATCCGCCTGCAAATTTTAGTGTTGCCATTTGAAATTGCGTTGGAGGCAGTTGAAGTTTTTGCATGCAAAGTTGATTAGGTTAGTGGGATGTCATTACAGTGCTGTCATTATGGTCTCACTCCCCAGAAGTTTTCACTCCCTGGAAATTTTCACCTGCAGGGATGCAATTGCACATGTGCTCTTCAAATTCATACTACTCTCATATTGTCTTCGTGAGGTCATTCGCACTGAAGGTCCTTATCTCCAAGATTGCAGCAACATAGTTATAGTCCAGTTCAATGGTGTACTAGTCATGTCATTGACTATATTCTTTGCCACTATTTGCTAAGGATAGAGTCACTCACAGTTGTCTGAATCTTGGAGTCCATGTTGGGCAAGTATGAGTCATTTTCTTGTTACCTTCAAAATCAGTTCCACTCCTGTTTCCGCCAACAGTCAAGGTTCCCAATCACTTCGCTTACATCAAATGGTTTGCACCATTTCCTTTGGCTCCTGATCAACACCACGGACTTTACAAGCTCTTGCGATCATTGCATGGTGGTGAAAAAATAGCAAGTATTGTGCCATTGGCAAATATTGTGCGTAGTGTCCATCTGATACTGAATTTTGGTGCCGTCGTCCCACAAGGGTGGACAAGTGATACAGTTCTCGATAATTGTAACACTTTTTGATTGAACTCATACATAGATAGATATACATTTTCTTTATTCAAATGATTATTGAGAATCTCATCGTACATTATCATCTTTTAGCTGGTTTTATCCTAATACCTGTAGTTACATAAAATTCTCTGAATTACATCGTTTTATGAAATTTATGTGTTTTTTCCCCCAGGAGGTTTTTCCTGATGAACGGTCGTCATAGCAGGCAAAGTTTCATGCAGTGCTTTTGCAGTCAAGCAAGAAAATGGGTTTGATATGAATGTCTCTTAATGTGTTACTGGTCCTCTACAGAACATGTGAGTCCACTGCTTCTATCCTAAAGCTCATCCATGTTTCTCCAAAACTCCTTTGCCCACCACCAGTAAGCATGTCATCGTTCAAGGCACTGTGCAAAGTATTACCGCAGAACGCTGCACTGTGACTGTGAAGGACATTGCTCTCGGACCTTCGGACATGGTTACAACTGTTGATGAGAATTCCGAAACAGTCCCTTCAACTTCACTCAAGCAGTTTGATTGGGGAGCAGTGCAAGCAAAAAGAGAAAGGGAAAGGGAAAGCAAAGGGTAAAGAAAGAAACAAAGAGGCAGGGGAAAGTGGCAAAAGGGCACATGATGATGATGATGATGATGATGATGATGATGATGATGACAAAGATAGGGATGGTGGACCATCTGCATCTGCTGTAGGTCCTTCCAAAGTCACTTGCATTTCCACATAATATTTACTGTTCTGTATCTAACCTCCAATTTTGATGGCTGTTCCACATGACAAAGATCGCTTGTGAAAGTGCCAGTTTCGTGCAAATCCCATTCATGCAGCTCAAGAAAGACTAAGGCTGTGCCAAAAAAGACTCAGGCAGCATCAAGAACAACTCAAATGGTGTCAAGCAGCGCAACATTCCATGAGTCCAGTTATTATTGTTTGAGAATCATTCTAATAACTAATAACAATTTTTAGATCCTAGAACGAGACATCTTCAAGTTTGGACCTCAATCTTGACTGCCTTCGCTACCTAATCTAACTCCATCACCTGTCCCTGAAGAACCGCAAACTCCTTCACCTGTTCCTGAGGAGTATTGGTGGTTCCATTTACGAGATCGACCACCTGCACCTATTCTTCCAGCAACATGGAATTGATGATGCCCTCATTGTCATGCTTGGTTATTATCCACCAAAGCAGATAGCTTCTGTTGTGGAAATGGCCTTTGAGTTCTTCCACATTTACATTTGCTACCTCTGTGCATAGGATATTTATTGCGTGACGATGCATGCCGTTGACACTTAGTCAAGTTCTGTTGTGTAATCAACAACTTATTTTCCTTTGCTGGAATAGGCGTATCAGGAGGATTTCAACATTTTGCCACCGGCATGGGAGCTGGACCACCTGCAGTTGCCATTATGGGTCATACTTATCATCTCATTTCAGAATATATGGAGCACTCTATTCATTGGTTTTTGTATGACAAGCGTCAGCGAGAGTTTAAAGCTCAACAATTTGGAGTCCATGCTGTTGTCATCCAAGCCATCAGTAATGACATTGATGGGATCAATCCATATGTCCATCACTTGCAGCATTTTCATCTATCCTCATGACATACACACTGTCATATACCTGATCTGACCGCCCTAATATCAATATCCACTCCGCTTTCTGACCCCCTCCACTTCATTCATCCTCCGCTCCGCCAATCATTGTTTGTATCTGCTCCACTCAACCGCTCAACCGGTCCCCTTCCATAAACATCTCCATTCAACTGGACCTTTTTCCCCTTTTAGATATAGGCTTTCCTGTTCGGTACTTAGACCATTACTTCTGGATCACTGGTAATTCCTATTACCGCTCAATCACTGATCCGACGCGTACATATTGATACCCGCCCCGACTTATGTCTTTCCTATGTAAAGTACTTACAAATGATATCCTTGGTACATAGCTTTACTACATAGTTATCCTGGTCACTGCCTCATACATAGAAGTATATAACATATCATGTACTTAGATATTTTTCCTTAGTCTTAATATTACTTGTCTTCTCGCAGTTACTACTTGTGAGAATTCTCAGTAGGACCTTGCCTTCTCTGGACACAAGCTTCAACTTGTTGTCACCTCCGACCCTCCGACCCTCCGACCCTCCACTCCAACTTAGAGCCGTGCTCTAAGTCTCTCCCTTATTTCTCCGCCCCTTTCAATATTCCCCTCTGACCCTTTTCCATCCTCCGCATTATCCTTCGCCTTCTCCACTCCTACCAGACATTCCCCCTGCTCCTATTCACCCTCCACATCGTTCCCCGTCTTCTCCACTCCGCTCTTAGTCGGTCCGCCGCTAGCAGCTCTTACTCCCCAACCCCCAAAGCGGACCCAAGCGGTCCACTCGTCCTACCATCGGACAACGTCGGACCCGCTCCAAATTCGGGGCACATACTCGGCTAAGGGCACAGCGCAAGAGCTGAAGCCAAGCCCCAACCCCTCTGCCTCTTGAGCCGGCACAGTACCTAACACACTGCATCTTGGAGTTGAAAGACTTTTTGTCAAATATAGACTTTGCAGCTGTCATGCATGCTTCGAACTCCACTTCCATCAATCCTCACTCAATCTTCATTCAATGACATGGAAATCATGAACTGGAATTCATTAACATCCTCTCCCATCACTATGAACCTCTTCACTATGTTCTTTTGTTCCCTCATGCAAACATCAGATGGGGAGCTGACAATCTACCTGAAGTCCCTCACCTGTCACAAATTGAATGGTATCGCAGTCGCCTGCTTGCCAACAATGACAATCATTTTACTATCTTTGGAAGGCTGACCTGCAAATACATGGTTGATATGTACTTACATATGGAAGAACAACAGCTGGCCTACATACAACACAAATGGTGTTTTCATGAACACAAAGTTCATGCAAATGCAGCTATTGCAGCTGGTAATGATGAAGACAATGAAGAGGAATTTCATCCAGAGATTAAATTGCCTGCCAGCTTTGTGGGTTCACAAGCCTGGTCATCAGAGCAGACAGGAGATGCAATGGCTCTTGAGTGAAAATTTAGAAAACTGATGTTCTTCTGTACAATGATATTCAACCCTGACTGGCCGGATGTGTGGGAATGGCTAGAACCGGGACAAACTGCTTCAGACATACCTGTAACAGTCACATGGGTCTTCAAGTGGTGTCTAGAGAAAGTGTTGCATCTCCTTCAGATGGGCTTTGGAACCAAGAAATACATGATTAAAGTCATTGAGTTCCAAAAATGAGGGTTTCCTCATACACACATTATTATCAAGGTATGCAGTCAACAAATAGTCAATCTGCAAAGTCTGATATCACAATAATCTTCACATCATTTTATTTTTTTGATTCCATTTATGTCCATTGAGAGATGACTCTATGTAGGACAATACACGCTAGTCTAGGGACATCCATTCTTCACATCATTGTTGGGTGGAACCAGAGCTGCCACTGGAATTCATGGACACCATCATACGTGCTGAGCTTCCACGTGACAATCCTGCGCTTCATGAAAAAGTAGAAAAATACATGCTACATGGTCAAGATCACTTAACTTGACTAGGTAGCAGGTGCAATTGAGATGGTCAATGCATCTATGAATTTCCTCGGTGCAAGCAGCAATCAATGACAATCGATGAGCACAGGAGAATACATTGGCATCAATGTGAAGACAAAGATATATGCGTGGTGCCGTACTACCCTGCACTGCTCACTTTTGCTGATTGCCATTTTCACTTTGATGTGATCTATACAGCCAAAGTGTTCAGTTATCTCTACAAGTATCTCTACAAAGGACCAGATACTGTACATTTCACCATTGAAGAAGACATCGACAATGATGAACCAGTGCCCTTGAATGAGGTTTGCAACTATCAAAAAGGAAGATACTTATCCGCACCAGAAGCAGCATGGTGTATTCTCAATTTTGAAGTCACTCAGAAGGAGCCTTTGGTCACAAGCCTCCCCATTCATTTGCCTGGCTTAAATGTTCCTCAATTTGTCATGACAAGGAGGAGAGAGATCATCCACCTCCCTTATAAATCATTATTTTCTATGAACAGATGAACTTGCTGCACTTCGCTACAAAGAGTATTTTGAACAATTTGTACTCTACCCTATACATTGGAGAACATGATCTTGCAGCCTGGTGACTATCCTGAGAGACAAAGGGATGGTGTCACTTGAGAGAAAGCTTCCAGACATGTTCATTCAGAAAAAGTGGCTCAAATTCAGACAGTATCTATCCAGTCAGGAGAGCCTTTTTATCTTCATGCTCTGCTACTCCACTGACCTGCAGTTTCTTTCATCAACCTTCACACAATTCAAGGACAAATTTTTACCACCTTCCACAAAGTGGCCTGTGACCTTGGACTATTCAACAATGAAAATGAAGGGTGTCTTGCACTACAGGAAGCCATTGAATCCCTCCAAACTCCTGCTCAACTTCAATTTCTATTCTCACAGGTCATCCTCCAAGGTTATGCAGCAATGCATCAGGAAAACATTGGGTTCCTTTTTCTTCCTTTTTTCTTCCTTAAAGTGACTTAAGTGACTTATTTTGCAAAATAAGGAGAATCCAAGTTTTAAGGGCAACTAAGGCCAAACTAAGGCGCTCCACAAGGTGATCAAAGATGCAGAAAAAGATGTGAACAAAAGTCAAATTAAGGCAGCTGGAACATGTAATAATCATAAATCTACACCTCACCTACACCTCCCACCCACACATCTTTGCTGCTACCTAGGCACAGTCACCGGACTTCAGTACAAGCTCATCTGATACTCAGCATATCATTGGACATGTGAAAGAAGTAAGCGGCCCTACCAGAAAACTTGCTCGACATTAACTGACATTGTTAAAATGCATGTTCATTGCAATCACATAAGATGCCAGGCAACAGATGTACCTGGAATGGTCAAGAAGTCGGGCACCATGCAAGAAAGATGAGGGTAGGTCGAGCGCTGCCATTTCCACCATGCGAGAGCATTGTTCACTTTCTTGATGTGCATCTGCAGTGATGCTGGGAAACTCTTGCGGTTCAAATGTTCATGGTCCAGCTCAAATGTGACAGATTCAGGAATGACACAGGAGATTCAGGACATGTAGGAATTAAGTGCAGAAGTTCTGTTTCATGCCTATAATAGTTAGACGAGTCGTCACACCTGACTGCATTTCATGATGTATGCACATGTAGGACTCATCTTCAGAAGAACTGTCATTATAGTCATTGTTTGACCACATCTGCCATCCTGACAGCTGTAGGTTTTCACCACAGGTCATGACCTCAAGGTCCAGTCAAATGTCATCAATGGTGCAAGAGAGGATTGGTCAATGTTTGAACATTACGAATGGTCAAACTCCATGAACAGTGTTGAAGGGAAAATACTAAACTCTGACAGTTTTCAAACCAAAGGTTGCATAAGTATGGGAACAAACATGTTCAAATGTTTGACTTGTGCTGGAACATCCCATCATTGTGGCTGTCATCTCTGCTGTGGACTGTGTCTACCATCACAATGCTCACTGAGTGGCAAGACATTAGACAGGTGGAATGGTGACTGGCATATGTTTTATCTACCTTTTACTCACAAACATTCCAGGTCAGGAATGTTGAGACAGGAAGCAGGTGGCTTCTCTCTATCAAGGTGCTGTCGAGGAGTGCAACCTTCTGTCCACAGCATTTAGGAACAATATCAGCATGTGTTGTGCATCATTTCATCGGTCAGGGAGTTTTTACTTATTCTCCTTGAAACTTCATATTGCCTTAGACTGCCTTAGAAATACCTAATTTAAGGACTACCAAGTAAGAATAAGTGAAAAGAGACCTCCTTAATCTCCTTAACTGCCTTAGCTGCCTTAGAAAATTTCTTAAGGAAGATAAAAGACAAAAAAGGAACTTGATGTTTTCCTGATGTGTCTCTGTGGGAGGAATTTTGTGAAGAAATATCCATCAACCACATCCAGAGGCTCGGAGACCAGATTAACGGTTATGAATTCTCACTGAAAATCATCAACAATGTGCTATCTCATTCCGGAAGACACCTTGCTGACTTTGGGCTTCCTTCTCCTCCCAAATGGCCCATTGAAGTCTACAATGAACAAAGCTACCTGTGCAACAATCACGCAGCATTTGAAGCAGAAGTCAACAACATGGGTGGACAGTTGAATATGGAACAGAGACACATTCTTGAGTGCATTTCACAGAGCATAGTCCAGCAGAGAAACAACTTCTTTTTCA